GAAAGAGCTTTCCCCTGGGTGGATCCGGACTGCAGCAGCACATCCAGCCCCCTGCAGTGCTGAGGGGCCCTTGGGCTCCGTTTCCCAGATGCTGACTCAGTTTCTCCGCATACAAGCAGGCTCCTGCTGCCCCTAGGCACACTCCTGTGAGAGAAGCCCATTATCACTCTACCGAGATCTCCTTGTGGACAGTGGTGGCTGCAATCCAAGCCATGGAGAGGAAGGTGGATTCTCATGCCACCCGGTTACTGAATCTGGAGGGGAGAACAGGGACAGCAGAGAAGAAACTGACAGCCTGTGAGAGGACAGCGCTGGAATTTAGGAACCAGCTGGAGAGTAAGTGGGCCTTGCTGGGAACTCTGATCCAGGAGAATAACTTCCTGCAGAGGAGGCTGGAGAACATGGAGAACCTGCTGAGAAACAGGAACTTCTGGATCTTAAGACTGCCCCCGGGAGCTAAGGGAGAAGTCCCCAAGGTAACAATATCCCAGCTAGTGCTGAAGGGTAGAAGCTTAGGTACTGAACGGGTTTCATGTCTTCTGTCCTGCTGGCCCTTTAATTCACCACTAGATAAGTTCTTGGATGGAGGGAGTAATCTTCTTAACTTCAAAGTGTCCAGTAACTCACTGGCCAGACCCAGTCAGTCCAGTCATTGGTAAACAATGTACAGGACTAAGAGTCAGAATATTTGGGCTTTGCTTCCAGCTCAGTCGTTGATTTGCTGTTCATCTCCAGCAAGTGCTAATGTGGAGCAGTAATAGTGTATGTATGTATCACCTCTGATGCAGTTTGGAAACACTGTTTGGAAATCTAGTTGAGAGTCAGCTCCATGTGCGCAGTAGGGATGTAATAGTGTGATCATTTAACTGATTAACCGATAAGCAAAGTCTCAGAGTTTAGTGCTATAGACTACATGCATTTCCCTCTCCCCCCGCCCCCGCAGTCCCGGCTTGCTCCCGGTCTGGGACCTACCTCCTCTGGGGCTCTTCATTTAAAGTGTATCAGAAGCCAGGCGGGCGGGCAGCCTGGGTCAGTTCCAGCTTGCACCAGGCCTGGGAGCTCAGCCTGCCCCAGACAAGGGGTGCTGCCACCCTGTGCTGCTGCCTCTGTATTGGAGGCAGCAGCGTGCAGTGGCAGGGGGCTCCTTGGGAGTGGGGCCAGAGCACACTGGCTGCTGCCCCAACCTTGGGGACTATGCCTAGCACCCCACTCTGCTGCCTCGGATACAGAGGCAGCAGAGAGTGGGGCCGGAGTGCACTGGGTGCTGGCCCACCCCCGAGGACTATAGAACAGTCAAGTAACTGATAAGAATTCATGAGATTAATCAACTATTCAGTTAACCAATATTTAACATCCGTAGTGGCCAGACCACCGTGTGCTCTCGACAGACCATCTGACGATCTCTGTCATAAAGCTGTTCAAAGATTCTGGAAGTCAGTGGAATTCATTTGAGTGGGTTTATTGCAACCCTTGTGACTTACTAACTTCAAGTTGTCCAGTAAGTCACTGGCCAGACCCAGTCTGACCACCATTTGTTTGTGGATAAAGAATGGGGCTAGAATACATCTGGGCTCTGTTTCCAGCTTGGTCACTGATTTGCTATTTATCTTAAGCATATCTGATGTGGAAAAGTAATATTACGAGCATAGTTCTGTATTGTTTCCAAGTTGCATCGGAAGCAATGGTTGGAATCCTATGAGAGACAACCCGCCAGGTGCTCTCTCTTCAGTGGGCTTATTGTAACTCTTCTGATTCAAGGTGCCGGGAGCAGGAGTGGGAGAACTTGGAGGAATGGCAGAAAGAGCTTTACAAGAATGTGATGAAGGGGAACTATGAGACCCTCGTCTCTTTAGGTAAGGATCGGTTTTCACTCAGATTAGAATCATCCCCTATTCTGGTTCCAGTTGCAATTATTCTCCATTTCCTTTGCTTTCCAGTGGCTCACTGCTTCCAGAGCATTTGCAATAGACACATTTGCAATAACTGTGAAGACAATATATGTGGATTATAAACTTGCCATGTTGCATTGTAGAAATTATTATGTTTCTTGGCAAGTTTATAATCCACATACCTTGTCTTCACAGTTATAAGTAAACATAAATAAAGAATACAAATCTAGTCAAGTCAGTCTCCACAGAAACAGTGAGAGGAAATTCAAATGAATTGTTGATCGCCAAACTATACGCTCTGTTGAGTCAAAATAAACATCTTCCCTCCTCTTGCCTGAAGGAATCTTCAGTTGGAATCCATGCAGACCTTCCTCTGCTGAAATTGCTGTTAGCCAGTCAGCTAACTGATTAACCAACCACTCAATTAGGCACCTACACATAAAACAAACCTTGTTACAAGAAAATTCAAAACTGAGGGTATGGCTACACTGCAAGGGGGAGGGGGTGTTTTGAAAGGAGGTATACAAATCATGCTCTCATTTGCATATCTTCTTCCCATTTTTTCCTGGAAGAGGTTTTTCCAATATTTGGCCCGTCTACACGGGGCCAAATGTCAGGAAAAAAACCCTCTTTCAAAAGCCCCATTATTCCTTGTAGAAATAAGGCGGCTTTCGAAAGAGGGTTTTTTTCCGATAAAGGCTTTCGAAAGAGGGTTTTTTCCCCGATATTTG